CTTGTGTATCCTAAATATCCAGAACCGTTATAGAATAAAAAACATGCCGAGATAAGCATTTTTACATTTTAGGATAAACGAAATCGCAGTAAAAATAGCGATTCATTTGTACAAGCTGATATTTTCGAATTTATGGTGCTGTGAAAATAAAAACGCATAGTGGAAGTTACGAACGTGTGTTTTTTTGTTTATTCTCTCTTATAGGTCAGGGCAGGTGTCATAAAAGTAAATGCAGTAACCTAATTCAGCATGGTAGGTTCTTTCATTGAGAATTAAAGCGCACCTTTGATTACGTATACTAATACATAAAGAAACAAATAAAGTTGTCTCTGTTCCAATCTACGATAACTTATTCAGAATGTCTGCACAAATGCAAATAGATGCCTTTTCAAAATTTAAAAATTTTCTAAAAAATTAAGAAATACGTTAAGTGATTACGGTTGTAAATTCATGTAGAACTCATTTTCTGTATTGTCAGTTTCTCTATTAATTTATTACACTTAAAACGTTGCAACCATAAGCCAGGAACTACATAATAGTATATTAAGATACAAGTGTATAATCAAGTCTTTAAAGCACGCGCAACGAGTTTAAGGGCACGACGCAAAGCGGAGTGCCTTTAACGTTGCAAGTGCTTTAAAGACCAATTATACACGTGTATCTTATAGTATTTTTTATTATACCTGCAGTATAATTTAAAAATAGGAAATACAATGAAATCATATTGACGTTATACTCGAATACATGTTTAATTAAGTGGGCTGGGTGTTCGAAATTTCACGATTGCCATGGAAATCTCACTTGACGTTTGCTTATAAAAATCGTCTTTGTAAATAAAACGATTTCCGTTGAAAAAGATAATACACCGTCCATTAAATCGCTTCTTGTAAAATCTAAACAAACGTTGCAGGTAGGTGTAAAATCCAAATCCAGTAAAGCTTATTATAAAGAATATGAAAGTTGTTTCTATGGATGAAAAGGAAGTTACTTACGAATAAAGTCTTAAATGCGTCGATAATGCTGGGATATATGAAGGAAATCTCAAAGGTATTTAAATCTCCTATCTTTTGGTGCATTCACTCAAAACTTCAAACAATGCTGAGATTAAAAGTGGAACAGATTTGAAAGCATACCCTAAATTACGCGCGTTTGTGAAACCTTCAACCAAAGGATAGGTGCAAGCCAAAGAAATGTTCTGCATTTACAGAAAGCGACCTAAGAGGATCTTTTATTTCAGCCCCAGATGACAGTTTCAAAAGTGATACTTGAAGTATCGTTACTTAGCAACTTTAAAGCACGTGTGTTTTAAAGGCCTTTTTTCGCACGCATTTGAGTGTTTAAAACGGAGATTGTGATTCAGGTATAATAAAAAATATATATTTAATGTTACACCCGTTCTCACCATTAATTAACCACCGCATGTTAAAGTTGTACATTGCGCCCAGTAAAATAAATCCTGTAACTTTTTTCTATCTGGTGAAACTTTTAAAGTGTGCTGCTACGTACCCTTTAACCCTTCAACAAGGAAACTGAACGCACCATCAACTAACAACAGTCTCCCCAACACACTATCTGTTTTACAGTTTGGTCATTAATCTTTGACTAGATTGGAATTATTTCCTGCAAATGACAAAGGATGATAATTATGTATATAATCCACTTTAACTAGAGCCTACGAAAGTAATTGGGTTCGGATGATGTATGATTGTAAGTTTCAACAGCTTTAATGAGATCACATCTGTAGCTTTTTACGCTCAAAAATAAAGAAATGGCCTGTGAATCGATTTCATCCGAAGTGTTCTTGAAATGTCTGATTTGCGTTTATATTTATGCCGCTATCTTCAAAGTAATATTACCATTATTTCTTTCATTTTGTCATGCAAAACATCATAACGCGCAAATCTGCAATCATAAATAATAACATTAACTATTTGACACGCAACCGAGACCCAAAGATATTGACTTCAGTAACTAATAAATACGAAAATTTCCCTCAAAGCTCTTTTTTATTATTCGTTAGATGAATTCATTTCCCCCATGCCTTGACAGAATTTATTAGCTAAATAATTTTATTGCGAGATGAAAAGACCGCAATTAAGTGCAAACAGGGTGGTACGCGTATACACGAGAAGTGTTTTTACATTTACATACTAATGGCTTTTCACACACGTAGTTATAAGGTATCGCCGCGACAAGCGTGATATTATTTGTTTGATGTGCTGTGACATCAAAATTACGCCAAATGCACAATTTTCCGTTTTCACAATCGGGAGTTTTATTCCTTTGCAGGAGTGTGTTCTATATATATGCATTGTGTTGTTTAACATACAGTGTCCTGTTTCCAGTTTTATAATTAAATTTACGAAGAATCTTGTGCGATGGCAAAAAAAATTTTTTTCACTACTAGCGTCTGATGACATGATTATTAACCTTTTTTCCACTTGTAAAGTAGGCTTTCTCGGCATTTGTTCAAAGTGTCACGCTGTCACTTTTAGAAAACACAACCCGAAATTTCGCTCAATGAACGTTTAGACAAGTTCTCTAAAACGAATAATTGCCACCATTCGCAATTTCCAGAGAAATTACATACCTAAAATTATCACATTTTGAAAAAATTCGAACGAAATTACTATTAAGAAACAAACAATTCTGTCCAACCGTTAACTCTCTTATCAATATAATATGTTAATTTAGAGGATTTCAAGTGCTAGTAGTGAAAAAAAATAGTATATATACCACGGTAGAGAAGTCTATTATTGCCTTCGCACCTTACACCCCTCGGCGCAAGCGCCTCGAGATGTAATCTGGGTACTCAGGCAATAATACTGGACTTCTCTACCTTGATATATAATGTACTATTAATTTATACTTTTAATAATGGCGTGTTGAACTAATGAACAACTACCAATTATACTTTTAACTTCACATTACACTTTATCGACGAAGTGCTCCATTTATTTTGAGTGTTGTAAGGTATGTACATAAGTATGAGACTCAAAAACCATATTAAATAAAAATTTCTGTCTCATTCTTATGTACTTACTTCACACTACACAATTTTCACCCTACGTTAGTCGCGCACGATTTACTTACGTGTTTAGTCGCGTGGATGACATATGTCACATGGTACAAAATTTCGTTATTACATTTTCCCCATGGAGCATATAGTACCTACGCAAATGAAAATTACAACTACTTCATTTTAGAACGATTTAATAAGTATGTATTTAAATATTGACAACAGTTTATTCGAAACATTCAAAACATACTTCTTCTAGATGATCATTGCAAACCCATTTGTTGCACTTGACACACCATTTTCGGGTCGTTTTGTTACGAGACCTTCCACAATCGTGACAACGTCCTCTGGATCCGGCAGTATGAGGTTCCGTCACCGGTGTTGTGGCTTGATTTACCCCTAGCAGAGTCATCCAACTCACTTTTACTGCTAATGACACTACTAACAACACTGCAATAACCTTATAATGTTAACCCTGTCTTCTCTCCACCTTTACTGAAAGGTATTGAAAGCCGCACAGGCTCAATCGATTTTGCACGAGTTATAGGCGGTATTAAAAATGCCTGGATGACCATTGTCATCCACGCGACTAACGTAGGGTTAATAATCTCAGCTGGCCTTTTTACAAAGAAAGTTTTTTAATGTAATTTCCACGAAAATTACAATGAAATTTACTTCCTTACCAATAGGTCCTTATTTAAACATGTGTACTTAATCATGAAAATATTTGCAAAAATTTATTTTCACAAAAGGATCATTTCGTAAAATACTCGAAATAGATACTCCGGGGAAAATTTCGAATATACTGAGGTTCATTATCGTGTTGTTAACAACCAGGAAACTTTCTTTATTGGCTATCAATTTTTAAAGAAAAAGGGAAAGCTTTCATTTCTTTTCGTACACTACTTAATTTAATTAACATAATTCGTGAAATATAATGCGTTTACATTTGGTTTCTCGTCCGAAAATGATTCACCGTAATTGAATGCGGATAAACAATGAGTAAATAGTTCGTTCGAAACCAAATAATTATTCTTTTTTATCGCGTTATAATGGGAAAATGCTTTTTCTGCATCAAAAGCAAACTTCGGATTAAGTTTTTAGCGTAATTGAATGGGACTCGAAAATCTGGATCCCTTCTTTGGTATACCTATCTAGTGCGATAATTTCCTACTCGTGTCATGAGTTTAATCCAACTGCATTTCGCACTTTTAATATCCAAATTACACTTTTATTGCGATATTCGAAGGTCATAATTTCTGCGCTTCTACCAAATAAACCACTAAATTTCTTTACGAACTTTTGAACTTCTATTTCTGAACTACGGTCAACACAGTTTAACTTTTTGAAAACGGTACCTTAAATCGGTCGCTTTTAATATCACGTAAAAACTATATCATCACCCCAACGATTATCAACGTTCTTAGAGTACCATACTGATCGCCACGGATGGCAAAAGTCGAATTCCCTCAAGTTCTTCAACCTTCCTTGATTACTGTGTAAAGTTTCGAAAAAAAATAATAAAAACCTATTCAACAAAACAAAAGGATAAAGTGACAACGAAGAAACAAAATGGTGGATACAAAATGGATGATATGGCAATAAGGAAGAAAGATTGAAATGATAATTAAATCGTTAATTAGGTGACGATCGTTTAATATTCAACTGTATCTGTTTATTTAATTCACGTTTGACTGCCTGTTATGTACTGGTAAAAATCTTTGACGGAATCAAGTCCGGACGGCATAGAGAAGAACCTCACCTAAGATTAAACTATAAATATTATAAAATCGTGTTTTTTATATAAACCGTAATAAAATATCCCTTGTGGGAAGGCTGTTTTTTTATGATTATTAAAATTTGATGCTCTTGAAAAAATAACTTTAAAAAAACACGCTTAGATTAAATTTCTTAATGATATTAAACAAAAATACTAAGTAATTAGAGATATATTCGTTTATAACGGCATCGAGTGCGGCATCGAGTGCGGACGTGTTTTCAGCGCTCTGTGTTTAGTTTAATTATAAAATCTAAAAAAAAACCAACGATCATGTCTGAAGTGTGTCAAAAGTGTACATTTAATATTACGTCCACTCAGCAAAAAATTAAATGTGTAAGGTGTTCGAAGAGATATCATATCAATTGCATGAACCCAACAATCGGGGAATTGCAATATTTGAAAGATAACAAAGAGAAATGGCAATGTCTTACATGCATCGAATCTAATACGAAATTACGAAACACTGGCAGCTCATCATATTATGTTCCAGATGAGATCCCAGCATCTGTGGATGTGGATCCTAATGACGGTCAACTAAATACGTCAACTGCACTTGCACACATCATAGGTCAACTGAAAACTGTTTTAGAAGTACAATCAGAAACAACTACGTCGATCAATTTATGTCACGAAAAAATTGATGAGTTGAACAACAACTTCAAAAAACTAAGCGATGCGGTGACAGCCTGTGAAAAAAATATTGAAGCTTTAGAAACTAAGAACGTAATTCTTCAAAGGGAAAACAGTGAGATTAAAGAAAAATTAAATGAGTTGGAACAGTACACCCGGAAAAATATCTTTGAAGTATATGGCGTGCCGGAATCCCCAGGAGAAAATATTGCCGTTGTTGTCCAAGCAGTGGCCAATTCGATAGGGTTTAAATTGGAAAGATGGATGATCGATACTACTCATCGGTTGCGAAAAAACGCAAATCGTCCGGATCAAGCCAGGGGAATCATTATTAAGTTCGTACGCAGATTAGATAAAGAAGAGTTCATGAGGTTAAAGCGAGTTAAACGTGAACTTAAAGTAAGTGATTTAGGTTCCGATTTTCGTAATTTAATAAAGCAAGACAATTACATCTATGTGAACGATTCGCTCACGGTTACCAACAAGATATTGTTAAATAAGGCGCGTGAGTTTAAAAAACAAAACAACGTAAAATATTTGTGGATACGGAATGGCAAAATATTTATGCGTGTCAATGAGCAGAGCCGCGTTTATGAAATAAAATCAAGTAATGATCTTCGGGATGTCCACTGATCGAGTTTCGGTGATGGTTTATCACACTATAGTGTTTTTTTTGTTGTTTTTCAAAACATTACGGAGAAAATGCTCTTATTTTATTGTCTTTAAATTTTTGTTTGACTTTTATACATCACAAAGCCAATAGTAGTTTAGTTACGTGCGTTCGTTGGAAATTTGTGAATTTATCTGCAGCTGCTTTCTTCAAAGTTATCGCCGAACATTCCTACATAAACAATAGCCCCGCTGTTAGTTTTAGCATGATGTGTTTATCAATAAGGTTTGCTTCTTTAAACCAAAAATGACTGCTTTTCTGGGAAATAACTTGTGTTACATATTTTTCTGTGTCTTGAAAATTAATTTTACTTGTAATTATGCTTTACAAAATTCGGTTTGGATATTACCAAAATTTAAAAAAAAAACTGTATTTTTATATGGTCATTTATTAATTCCTTTTTTGTTTACAGATGTTAGATGAGTAGGAATATTTTAGGAATTGCACACTTAAATGCCCAATCTCTTCGTAATAATTTTTCAGAATTCAAGGATCTCGCATTTGAGTGCAACTTTGACATAATAGGAATAACAGAAACGTGGTTATCGCCCGAAGTACCTAGTGATGCAGTTCACATAAATGGGTATAAGTTTATTCGAAAGGATCGCGTAGCGAGAGGTGGAGGTATAGGTATATATGTTAAAAGTGAATTTGTTTTTTCAATTTTAGAGCAATCCGAATCGCACTCAGCCAGTGAACAGTTATGGATCTTATTAAAAATAAATAGAATCCAATTAGCTCTTGGAATTCTATATAGGCGACAGGAATTTGGATGTGATGTGTTTCTCAGTGAATTGGAAAATTCGGTTGTATCTGTATTACCTATTACTGATGAAATAGTGTGCTTGGGTGATTTTAATATAAATATGCTCAATTTAAATAATCGTGATACATTAAAGTATACAACTATGATAGACTTCTTCAGTTTAAAACAAATCATCCAAGAACCTACACGCGTCACTTGTACAACGTCTACTTTAATAGACCAAAATTTGGTAAGGTAATCATTGAGTGTGGTGTAATTGGTTCGCATGGTTTGTCTGATCATTGTTTAATATATTGTCAGTACCCACTTCACAGTAACGTGGAAATGAAAAGCCATTTACATACTTACCGGGACTTTAATCGCTTCAACCAAGAAACCTTTGATGCTGACTTGCAAGCTATTCCATGGCATCTAATGATTCATTTACGTGATGTAAACGATAAAATTCACTTTTTAAATGCTAATCTTACAGAGTTGTTCAATATTCATGCTCCCATTAGAACTATTAAAATTGTTAAAAAAAATCCTCCCTGGATGACTGATAATATCAAATTTATGATTAAACTACGAAATAAGTCCCTTGTCAAGTTTAAACGAACGCTTAAGGATACTGATTGGAATTATTACAAACAGTTACGGAATTACACTACCTTTGCAGTTAAACAGGAGAAAAAAGCATATATTGAATTTAGACTCAATCAAAATAAACATAAAACGTTATGGCAAGATTTAAATAGGACTAACATATATACAAAAGCAGAGTCTCATGAAGTACCTATTCATCTTAGTGATCCTAACAAAATTAATGAGGCATTTGTAAATTCAAGTAAATCTTTGTCTACCGTTAATTTCAACAACCTTATTCGATTCTATTGCGAAGATTTTCCACAAAAGTTTGGGACAAATTTTCAATTTTCATTAACTGATGGCCAAGCAATATTAAAAATCTTATCAAATATCAAAAGTAATGCGGTTGGAACTGATGAACTGAGTATAAAAATGTTACGACTTTGCTGTCCCTTTATTGTTCCTTACGTGACACATATTATCAATTCCTGCATAATCGATTCGATCTTTCCAGACTCCTGGAAAACCGCAAAGGTTATTCCTGTACCTAAATCAAATGCACCAACTGACTATAAGGACTTAAGACCAATTAGTATCCTTCCATGTTTATCAAAAGTTTTCGAAAAAATTATGATGACTCAAATGCAAAGCTATATGCAATCCATTGATATTATCCCCGAGACACAATCGGGATTTTGATCGGGTTTTAGTTGTGAAACTTCTCTTTTAAATATAACTGATGATATATTGAGCAGTGCTGATAGTGATGAACTGTCCGTGTTGATTATGCTTGACTACTCGAAGGCGTTTGACACCATAAGACATGATGTTATGGTGTCAATCCTGAGATGTATTGGTTTCGACGAGTCTGCTACTTCTTTAATTGAAAATTACCTTACTAATCGCAGCCAGATAGTGAAAATAAAAGACTCTCAATCTATCTCTTTACCAATTATCAATGGAGTACCTCAAGGTTCAATTCTTGGTCCCCTGTTTTACGTTATATATACCTTTAATTTAAAATCTTCTCTAAAATTTTGTAAATATCATTTATATGCTGATGGCACTCAGTTGCATTACAGTTTCAAGCCTATAGATTTGCCCGTTGCCTTGGTTCATATTAACACTGATCTTAACAGTCTAGTGGATTATTCAGAGGTTCATGGGTTACAAATTAACATATCTAAATGCTACCTCATGCTATTAGGCAAACGGAAGACAAGAGAAAAGTATATATCTCAAATAAATATTATGATAAGGGATACTCCATTGGGTGTTAAGAGCAGTGTTAAGAACCTAGGGCTTATTATAGATGATGAACTTAGGTTTCGACAGCATATATCTAAAAATGTGCAAAAGGCATTTATTAATCTAAAACAAATTTATCAAAATCGGTCTTGCTTAACTAAAAAAGTAAAAATAATACTCTGCGAGTCGCTTGTCCTATCTCATTTTAATTATTGTGATTGTGTGTACGGTCCTTGTTTAACTTCCGTCGACTGCAGACGAATACAACGCATCCAAAACTCGTGTCTAAGGTTAATATTTGGTATTCGAAAATTTAATTCTATTGGTGGCAAACTGAATGAAATAGGATGGCTGAATATGACAAATAGAAGAATGCTGCATTCGGCTTGCTTATATCATAAAGTCATTACTCGCCAAACACCACAGTATCTTTTCAATAAGCTTCGATTTCGGCATAACATACGTGATTTTTTCTTGAGACATAAAAATTTAGTTATAACACCGCTTCATAAAACCTCCTTGTATGAAAGATCATTTAGTTATAACGCGTCTAAAGTTTATAATTCAATACCTCCTGAAATTAAAGAACTTCCTATACAACATTTCAAAATTCAACTACATAAACTATATCTACTTAATCAATACACCTCTTAAATAAAAATTAATCTTGATAAGCTTCTGTTTTTATTATAATTTATTTGTCCCGTTAAAAATATTATTTTTCACTCGTAATGCCATAATTAATGTTATTTAGTAATCAAACTGGGTTGAGTGGAAGACCAAGCTGCTACTTAGTTTGCTTGAACTCACTCCATTTGGGAACAACAAGTGAGGCAGTTCTTAAGTACTCTGTTCTCTTCGAACATCATGTATGATTTTATTTTTCTTTATTTTTATCTTGAACATTGAACATTATATTAAGTTGTTTTCAATAAATGCATTATTATTATTATTATTATTAAACCTTTGATGCTGGGTATAGGGAAATGTGGTATCAAACGACGTAAATTTTCATGTAGATTTCAAAAATGCAATAAAATACAGGGTGTTCTATTTAAAATAAGAAAGTTACTATCGACATCCGGTAGAACCGGAAGTGAAACGATCATATTTTCTGTTGATAGATAAAGAAAAGCAATGTTGGTATGCAAATTTTCAGATTTATCTCACCTGGCCAGTTCGACACTGCGGAGGCTTTCAGAGGAGCATACCGGCTGGTTGTCAAAGGCGAGGTGGAGACGTCGATCATCTTTGATGATAAAATCATCAGTATGATAACTGAACTACCCCTAGTACTGTAATAATAAATAATAAGGCGATAGATTTTTCTTTGTGTGCAATTTCCTTATCTTCAGAAATTATTTGTTAGGTTTTATTTATAAAATCGATGTGTTATACACATTGCATTTATGAAAATATTGGGTCAAACCCTTAACTTAGTTTTATTGTTTAATTATTCAAAAAATGCGTGACCGGCATTTCCACTTGCGCTAGTTTAGTTCATAACTTTTTGAACAATTTATGTTTATAGCGTGTGGTTTATCGCAGTTTAAGTGCAAACAAAACCCCGCAATATTGCATTGGAACTCGATCCGTTGTAAAGGCGCGTGCCGTGCGCTAATTAATTTCTGGCAGACGTACATTTTTGGAAGTTTATTTAATTAGCGCGATTGAGCGATTCGAGGACAATGAGCGCTGTCATGTGGCACAAATATCCCATTAAATGTCACAAATTGAAAACTGACTGAGTCCTCTCGTCAATTATGGAATATTATAATGGTTTTATCTGAATATTTCCGCCTGCTTAGACTAGGAAACAGTTTAATTTCAGCCTAAAGCTTTCGCCAGAGTTTACATTTAAATGAAGGTAGGGACTCGGGGGGTAATTGAATTTACATTATAAGGTGAGCTCACTTGTTCCTCCAGATATTGGCACCCTTAAATGGAAGCGACTGGTGCCCCCGGTTCGTAATGAATTTTACGCTTCTGTACACCAAACCCGATTAATTCATACCCTAATTTTAATTAAATGATTAGCGTATGAAAAGAATACAAGCTTAAACGTAATTTCAGTTGTGAAAAGTTTTGGACGGATTCGAGCTCTCGCGCGACAGCTCGTAACTTCCACCACCCGCTTCCTCGCCCTTTTTTTTCCCTCCGCCGATCTTCGGCACGAACTTCTTCGCGTACAAAATTAATTTATATAAACCGGGCATTAAACAATGGCCGCAAATTGTGCAACTTGAAATTAGATTTCGCCAAAGTTTCGCGCCCGAAATTTTTTCGCGCTAATTGAACGAAATGGGCAACGGGTTTCACGCGCCGCTCGCGCGGGGGGGCCGATCGATCCCGCGAAAAAAACCCCGGGTAGACTCCAATTAAAAAGTGTTAATGAGAGAAAAATTATCAGGACTTGGGGAAAAGGCGGCGAAGTAGAAACCGCAGACGAATTTGATTACTTCTGATGCTAAACTTTATTTGCATATTTGCCTGCCGCGCCGCTGCTTCGGGGAGGGTGATTTGAATTTTAAAAATTCCTAAGCGGCTCTTATACTTATGGACGTGTTACGTTAAAGATGAATGCATAATGAAAGAAAAACTTTGCAGTTTTGCGGGAGAATGTGGGAGAAAGTGGCGGGCATTGTTTTAGGCGGGTTTTCGGGGAGTGTACCTTATTGATCGGTCCAGAGTTGAGAACGCAGTGCTGCCACAGCATCGTCAGCGGGGAAACGCGATACTTAAATCCGCTGCGTATACAATTTACTCAGCTTTGGACAGGACAAAGTTGACAAATTAACGAACCAAATTTTTGCGCTTTGCCCCCATTGTCCCTCCCCGATGACTTAATGCTAACAAGAATACCAAACGCGCGCTCTATCACGGAACGATGCGGTAATCTTCAAGTCGAGGCGAAATATGAGATAATATACATCCACCTCTTGCACACGTGACGAAATTTATAAGCGGCAATATTGGATATGACACCAACAGTGCATCGCATTTATCGTCAAGCTTCTCTACTCCTGTCGGATTACCACCCACTCCACGTATTTACCAAAATTAAGTAACCCAAACGTTCCATATGCTAAAACTTCGCCTTTTTCAGAAAACCTTTCCTTTGAAGGATTTGTTTTCAAAATCATCAATGCCAACGAACTTCACGAGATCATCATATATCTAAAATTCGCTTTGTATTACTGACCAAGCACTAATTAATCGATACCAATTTCCTATTCAACTTCATTTATTACTTGGTATCTTTGTTTCAGAGATTTACTTCGTTTTAACGTCATTTTATTGTGAATTTGAGTACTACTACCTTAGTCTATTTCCAA